TAAATGATCAGTGATCTAATGTCATTGATGCAAAGTGAAACATCGATTTATATTGTCATAATAGGATACGCCATTACACTAAGTTATTTACTCGGGAATACATCATTTGTGTGGACATATTTCCGACTATGGAGAAAATACAAGTTAACAGACGAATAAAATGCCGTATGTAAAATGGTGTTACAAGATAAAACAGGTGTACGTGCCTGGACGGACATCCCACTCCTTCTCACTACAGCAACATTAGCTGCTCTGTTTCAACAATGTTCAGCTGAAAAGATGTGCACACAGGCTGAAATTCAACTGTGCTGTTCTGTCAGGAGATGCAGTGACTTAAACTTACGGTGAGTAAGAAAATGTATAGATAAGACATGTAATTAGTTAAGTTATGAATGGAGGAAAGCCCGCTAGCTGCTAGGCTAATTTATGCAATGTAAACATGCTTGAGCTGATAATGGGTGACTAGCAAAAACCAATTAACATGTCTATGAACCCTGACAGTTATTAGTGAGCTGAATTGTATACCTATGTTAAATTATATTGATGTTAATCCATATTTTATGGCTGTTTGGAGAAGTTTGTCTTGGTCAAATGTCATGGTTTGAGTTAAAATGAAAACATTTCCTTTCATGTGTGTCAGTGGAGTCACTTTAAAGTAAACTTTACTGCACTTATAATTTATGTGTTGTTTTTATCTTTTATGGCCAAAAGTAAAATAGAAAGGGGAGGCAGGTTCAGTCTGGAACTGACTGTGTTAAATGGGCAGATAACATTGTCTCATATCAACTGCAGGCACCTGAATCCCATCCAATCAAAATCATATTGTGGTAGACTTTGTAATGTTGTCAGATATCGTATTGTTGTCCAAATAATCAATATAATATTGTTTTGTGAAGAAACTGGGGATTTACACCCCTACAGAGGAACAAGCTGTATCAGGATTTGGCTATGGAGACGAAATTTAAGTTCGTAGGATCAATTCTTGTTGGCTTTGCTCCTTTAATCAGTTTTCATACTACTTTTCTATACAACAGAAAGCCCTGAAGGGACCAAAGCTGCTTCCTGAGGTAGGGATGAGAGAGGAGTGGAGGGATCAGATCAATAGTGGACAGTATCAGTGAACACTATCAGTCAGTTCAAAATTCACAGCAAGTCGCCGAAGCCAGGCGACAGAAAACCTCAAAGACAGCAAACAAAGCTGAAAGAGAACAAGGCGCGATGACTCGAGAGAAAAAAACGACGCTGTATTGTGTTTCATCGCCTGATGACACACTCGCTTGCTCAATCTTCCGCTTCCCATCACACTTCTGTTGTGTCCGCTACGCATATCAAACCCCAAATAACAGTTCGAATTTTTATGTGTCCCTATTTCATGTTTGTTTACTAAAAACAAAAAACAAAAAAACAAACGGGGCAAGGAGAATCTCACGACTGAATGAAGAGAATCTAACAAGCTGGCTCGGCAGATCCGGCCGTACTCTCTGATTGGCTGGGGGAACCGGAGCGAGCAACGCTGGCTCGGAGATCAACACAAAAACTCATATCCATTTATTGGGTATGATGAACAGATAACCAGAGAAAGAGAGACGCAAATGAAAACAGTAGTGCTGCTTATGCCTGCAACAGTGGAGCACAGAGAGAGAGGAGCTAACTAGGACAGAGCAGCGAGGAGACAGACAAGCACACACACACACACACTTCAACAAGTCCATACACAAACAGATGTAAACAGGTACCTAATGCTCACACACACACACACACACACACACACACACACACGAGCCTTTCACAAAACAGACAGGCACATACACACACAGACACACTTTGAGACGTAAACACACACACGCATATATAAATATATATATGCACACAAACAAACACATACTCATCCACCCACCATAATCCTCTGATACCATTCTTTGGGATTTCACCCAACACAATACGAGATAAATTCTCTAAATCGAGCGCTAAGCTGTGTGGAGGAAAACATTCAGGAGCTAATATGTTGAATCTTAAACAGCCTGAGCAGCAGCACAATGCTCTGTAATCTGCAAATCACCGTTATTATTTCATCCGTGAGTTTAATTCATTTAAACAGGCTAAGTGGATGGAAATTAGCGAAGGTGAGCAAAAGAGAAAATGACAAGCCGCGATATTGAATCATTAAAAAAGTTCTGCTTTTATATAACCTACTCCTATTCACAAAATGTTGAAGGGAACACAAGTTCAAATAAGAGTCATAGTGGGTAAAGAAAAATGGAAAAATCCTGGTAAACAAACTAAAAAGTCATCATCAGCAACTCTTAGAGAATGTCAAAAACTGATTGCCAGGCTACTATCTCTCGCGGGCAGACAGACGGACAAACACTCAGTTCAAAGGCAGAGTAAATATTAGCCAGGCCGTGGAAAAAAAGGCCCGTAGAGAGGAAGGACAAAAGTAAATCCTCTCTTAAAGGCCGACACAAAAAACAAAGTGAACGTGCACAGTGTGGTAACACGTGTGCATACTGTCGGAGATGAAGTGCATTTTTGTGTGTCTGCAAGCGTCTTCTCCGTAGTCTTTCATCAGCTTGGAGAGGTGAAGTGATTGGGGCACTCGCCAGTGATTGTGGCAACACTCTGCATGCTGCTTAGAAAAATTCTAATGATGGAGAAAGAGCGACAGAGAAGGGAAGAGGGCAGATAGATAAATACAAAACACCATTTTGTGACATACATACTCAGGTCAATTGGTTGAAATTATGGAAATAAGACATATAACGTTTGTTAGATTATAGATTTTTTTCTCATGTGCAATCCAGCTGACATTTAGAGAACCAGAATGGGAATCGAGTCAATCTCTGGATCAGATCTCTGTGTGTCTGGCTCTGAAGCAGCTGGCTGGGCAGCAGCTTCGCTCTGGCTGGCAGCTCATTTCGGAGCTTTGGATATCAGGTTGTTAGAAAATGCTTTACACTTTGAAAAGATCACAACAAAAGCAAAGTATTTCATTTTGAATCTGGCAAACCACAAAGAGCCCATCGCATTTTGATGAGTAGGTGTAAACGTGGCTAATGTTATTCTAATGATATTTTCCAGCACTCATTTCTTCGGGGAATGTTGAGTGAGCATGCGTGTTTTTTTCCAGCGGCACGCCATTTCATATTCATACGCCCACACGCGCTCGCACCTCGGATCTGCCCGCAGTCAACCACAGCCCAACACTATTGACCTCTGAACAGCTCATCTTAAATACCTGAGGACTGAATGCCTTGCTTAAGGGCTCTAAACTCTCAGAGGCTGAGGCAGAGGTGAGCTTTACTTATTCATTTTACCCAGCGCTACAACTACTGCTAGTCATTTTAATAATAATAAGATTAATAAGAAGAACACACTTTTTAAAACAATGTTTCTGACAGTGATATGCCCCGAAAGCCACTGCTAATGGCCAAGAAATAGTCCAACATATCCCTTGTAAAGCATTGTTGTTTGTTCACTTCAGTTTTGGTAAGGGTTTAGCAAACAATATATAATGTGTGAACTCATGAGCTTTAGAAATGCTTTTCTTACTTTGGACAGAGCTAGCTGCTTTTTCTCTGCATCTAAGCTAAGCTAACCCACACCAAAGATTTGCAACAAGACGAGTTGAAACAGGCAACTCCTTGCAATGCGCCGCTCTGCAACGATAAAAAAAAAACTGCTGGTTCACACCACTGCAACTAGATGAGGTGGTGTATCATCGCCATTGAACAACTCTCTGTACTTCTGTTCTGATTTGCAGCTTTTCAGGCTCATTTTGTGGCTGAATATAATTTGTAGCTTCTTAAAATATGAATGAGGATAGTGATAGTGAGATACTGGCTACAGCTGCATTTGTAGTAGAGATGAGGCGAAAAATAGAAACAAAACGAGCATCAGATGGACTGTACTCATAATAAATACGCCACAGTATATAAGTAAGCACTGCCAATTAATTAGTCAATGAGAATGTGTGTGTGTGTGAGGGGGCATAAGCTCATCCAGCGAGAAGCAGCAGCGACCCATCGTTCGACACCGGCACACTGTGAGGACGGAAACAGGGCTCAGCAGGGACGGAGCACCTGCCACAGCATGCAAACACACCGTCTGCAGTCATGTTGACTTGACTAGCGGTCAAGTCTTTTGGCTATAAAAACAGAAAGTTTTTTAAATTCTAAAACTAGCTGCCGGTGATTTGACCAGCTGAGCTGCAGGTGACACCATCAGCCGGCTTGAGTCGACTGGTCAGTTCACATCACTGCAACTTTTCTATGCAATGTTCTAAAATGGATTCATCTTGTCGCCAATCTTTGGTCTGAACTGGGCTTAACTCTTTGGAAGAAAGCAAATAAACGCATTCAGCAAGATCTCAAAACATTCCTTTAAAGGAATACTTCACGCCTAAATGACCATTTGTGTATCAGTTACTCACTTGGTGTTATGTGGAATTCATGAAGAAAGCTTTGATTGTTTGTTGTTTGTGTTATTGTGTGACATTGGTGAATCTGAACTAACCCTTTAAAACACTAAAGTCATGTTGATCAAGGCAGTAACAGACCGGCAGCTCCCGTGTTCAGTGAGGTAAAATTGCTGCTGTTGGTGGAGTCTGGCTTTGAAGAGAGCACCTTTAGTTCAGCTCACCATCAGGCAGGGTGGTCTGTTTGGGAGGTACTGAGCATACGACTAGATAAATAAGACTTGATTATACTGTTGTTTGAGAGTTTGTAAACGGATGGTTTGATGTAGTTTCGCTGCTGTTACACAAGGACCCATATGACTTCGATTCATCAAGAATTTTCTCCATTTTTGGATTCTTTGTTCCCTGGAGGCATGCAAGAACAACTTTTTCCTCACAAATTTGATGTAACACAGGATGGGTAATTAACGTACAAACGATTGTTCGGGGGAGTGAAGTGTTTCTTTGACAACAAAAATCCAAGACAAGAATTTTAATTATCTAATGAAACCGTGAAAAGTGTGGCTGGAGTGCTGTGGATGTTTACCTGTAACTTTCGTCTCTGAATCTCCTCCAGCATAATTGCAAGGCACTTGGTGAAGTCTGTTAGATCCTGGTCAGCTGTTTCTATTAGCTTGCACCCCTACACACAAAGAAAAATGAAAACACGCAACAAGACAAAACAAAACAAAAAGAGAGAAAAAAAAAGCACAATCAGATAGATGAACACATACGCAGATAGCAAAACAAAAACCCGGGCAGAGATAAGGGATAGGGGGATAACAAAGCGCAGAAAAACAGAGCAAGATAGAGAGATGGAGGGAGGTATAAATCAGTGTTTTAGTCTTGTCTGGCTGTCTGTGGGCTGTGTTGCTGAATAATGTAGAGGTTCCAGTCAGTGGCCCTAAACTACAGCATCCAGGTAAACAACCATGCTCTGGCTTCCTCTCCCTCTGTCTCCTTCTCTCTCCAATACACTGTCACTTTCCTGCTGAAACACACCAACTTTGTTATCGTGCGCACACACACACACACACACACACACACACACACACAGTGCAGACAGTTCACACAAACTTGTTCGCTGTGCTCTGTTTGATCCCATCCATCCTCCCTCCCCTCCCCTCCCCACCTCTTCCCTCCATCCCTGACTCCCCTCATCCCCCTCCCTCCCTTGCGGATGCTTTTCTGTTCTCTCCCTTCCATTTATGCAGAATTATTCACCATTTCCGACAAATCTCTGAAGGAGCGCCTCAAACTTTCCCATTGTTCTGCTCCTTAAGCATTACCATAAAAGTCTGTTCTCTCTCATGGAAAAAAAAAGGTATTGCTCATTTTTTTAGGCAACCTGTGTGATATTTGTGAAAAAAAGGACTAATATTACAGGCAGCTACAGAGAGAGGGGAAAAGGGTGAGACGGAAAAGGAGGGTGTCACAGCTGAAGGCACCGATATCGCTGCGTGCGAGTGTGCTCGCGTGCGTTCGTGTGTGTGCGTGGTGAAGTATTGGATCTGCATTTCAAACTGTCCATTGGTCCAACAGTGTCCATTGGGGGGTGGGGGGTTGGGGGGTGCTGATCGCAGCTGAACACAGCACAGCACAAAGATCACACAGGCACTACATTTTCCTTCCTCTGAGGTGTGTGTTTGTGTACCCTGTATTTGTTATTTATTGAACCGAGCCTCACCTCTCCTCGCATGTTCTGGTTTGAAATTTTGCTTGTTATAAATAACAGGAAGTCCACTTCATAGAACAATTTGCATCTTATCTTCATGACCTTGGAAGGTTTGGTGAAATATGTCAACATGAACGAGACTCTTGCACAGCTAAGGACCCAGAGGACTCTTATATCTGGAATGAGTTTATATATAATTCAGATAGAATACATTTACATCCTGTACTTTAGGTATACTACTCTGGATTTTCCTAGTAATGCCTCTCAATCATCATTTATCTAGAAGTGAGTGGCGGTGTTTCTATCAGCAGAGACTCTGCCCTCTGCCTGTTTTGCCTTTTATGCTGCTGTGTGCAGGACTTTCCTGGGCACGGTGCGTAGGTGAGCTCATCCGAGAGGAAGCTACAAAAATCGAAGACACACAGCCGAAAAAACCCTGCAACAATAGCGAGGCAAAACACCAAGTGGACAGAGCTGAGGTTGGCTTTCACTGGCGATACTGATTACAAGCAGTTCCTGGTTGCTATACCTTCAAGCCGAGCTCAGACCAAAGATTCAGGACGAAGCGAAACTGTTTTAGAACGTTGCAGAGAAAAGTTGCAGAGGTGTGAACTGGCCGATCTGAGTTTGACGCAAGCCGTCTGATGGTGTCACTTGCAACTCCGCTGATCAAACTGCCAGCGGCTGGTTTTCTAACGTAAAGCACGTCACTTGTTTCTTTTGCCAATCAGCTTATGGTGAAGCCAGCTGGTCAAGTCAAAATGACCACAGACGGTGTGTTTGCTTGCTGCAGCAGGTGCTCTGTCCCTGCCGAGTCCTCTGTTTCCGCCCTCATGGTGTGCTAGTGTCGGACAGTGGGTCGCTGCTGCTGCCTACTGTGAGTGCTTATGCCACCACACACACACACACATTCTCATTGACTGATTAATTGGCCCTGGTTATTCATAATAATGTGGCGTATTTATTATGAATATAGTCCATCTGATGCTCGTTTTGTTTCTGTTTTCCGCTGTTTCACGGAAGTACAGAGAGTTGTTGCATAGCAATGAACACCATCTCATCTAGTTGCATTGGTGTGAACCAGCAGGTTTTTAGAACGTTGCTGAACGGCACATTGCAAGTAGTTGCCTGTTTCAAGTCATCTCATCGTGAATCATTGGTCTGAGCTGGTATTTAAATGTATTTCATGTTAACACACACAACACTTAATGTATCTTCAAAAAATGTAGATTGCTGTTCATCTTAAAGTCTTTCACAACTGACACATCACCACATCTTACATCTGTTCCCTATCAGCAGGCCCCTAAAGAAGTTTTATAAAAAGTATCTACAGTTGGGTTTTTTTTAAATTCACTTTTGCAAGGAGTGGATTTGTGATTCAAAAGAGCTACTCTGAACATTGTGCAGAGGTCATTTTTTATAGTCTGGCAAACCCAACAGACATCTAACACTGTGATTCCCAGCTTTTGTGCTAGTGATGCATTAATATGAATTCATATCTCCTAGCAACTCCTCATCATATGTTGCATGTTTGTAAGTTGGGAGCACATCGATCGAAGACAGATTCTCTTCTCTCAGATAATTCGGTTTATTTGAATAAAGTCCCAAAAGGCTGAAAAGATAATATTTTCACAAGGCAGGAGCAAAGGCTAGAGAAAAGTCTAAATAATAAACATAGTTTAATATTAAAGATGTTACTGTCCTCTGGGGGAATAAAACTGTTGCAGCTCTGGAAAGTATTTGGGAAAGGAATCTGCGTGTTTCATCCGAGGAGGAAATATGGGTTTAAATTTGTGGCAATTCTCATACTATGTCAAGGGATTTAAGAATAAGACTGATACAGTTTAAAATCTAACACTGTTACTACTGGACCCTGAGTAGGTTTGTGGGAAATGACAGAGGGGCGAGGGTGTTTGCATGCACTCTAGTTACAGTATGCACCAACATTCAGAATTCATTCTGGATAAAGATTCACAGCATTATTGTCGATGTTTTAGGTTTGCATTTTGCACCATAACAAATTTATGTTTTGGGAGACAGCGGGGTTCTGTTGGCGCGACCTCGAGGTATGTAGAAATGGACCCAGACGGCAATAATGACATGGCGGCAGAATGCTCTCAGGAAGTGGAAAGCACCTGGAACACCTGCCTTTAAGTACTAGATAACTGAAATGGCAAAGGTTGCTAGGTAAGAAAGGATGTCATTTAGGGATTGTACAGTCCCTGACAAAAGTCTTGTCGCTTATCCTAGTTGTAGGAACAACAAATAATAACCTGACTTGTAGTTGATCAATTGGGATCAGAAATAGCTTATATGAAAGGCAAAGGCCTTTAGATTATGCTTATTATACCAAAATAAAGTTGTGTATCATTCACTGAGTTTTATCATTTAATTAGGACAGAAAGGTCAGATCTTGCTTGGACAAAAGTCTTGTCGTGTCTTTAAACGATTCAACCAATCACAGATTAGAGCTCCACCTGTGACAAATACTGTAATTAACACATTCCCAGGTGTGTATAAAAAGAACCCCAGCACACCAGACCTTCAAGTGAAGTGCAACCTGACCGCTGATAACATGCCAAAGATTCAACCACAGACCAAAGTGCTGATCATCAAGAGCCTGAAGACCAAGTCTGCTGCTGAGGTGGCAGACATCTTCAGTGTATCCAAACGTCAAGTGGAGAGGATAAAAAAAAGATTTGAAGAAACTGGTGACGTTCATGACAAGCCCAGGTCAGGCAGACCCCGTAACACAACTGTTAGAGAGGACCGTTTGTTGCTTCGGCAGTCCAGGGCCAGCCCTTTTTCAACTGCAGCAGAGCTACATCAGAACTGGTCACCAGAAACCCCTGTATCTACCAGAACAGTTTGTCGAATTCTCTCATGCAATGGTCTCCATGGCCGAATTACTGCTCACAAACCAGCATTAAACAGAAGACAACAAAAGAATCGTGTTGCACTTGCCAAGGCCCACAGCTTGCGGAAAGGATGGACAGTGGAAAAGTGGCAGAAGGTTGATTTTTCTGATGAATCATCCATTGAACTGCATCCCAATCGCCGCAAATACTGCAGAAGACCTGTTGGAACCCACATGGACCCAAGATTCACCCAGAAAACAGTCAAGTTTGGTGGAGGAAAAATCATGGTTTGGGGTTACATCCAGTATGGGGGTGTGCGAGAGACCTGCAGAGTGGATGGCAACATCAACAGCCTGAAGTATCAAGAGGTTCTCGCTGCCCATTACATTCCAAACCACAAGAGAGGGCAAATTCTTCAGCAGGACGGTGCTCCTTCTCATACTTCAGCCTCCACATCAAAGTTCCTGAAAGTGAAGAAGGTCAATGTGCTCCAGGATTGGCCAGCCCAATCACCAGACATGAACATTATTGAGCATGTCTGGGGTAAGATGAAGGAGGAGGCTTGGAAGATGAAACCAAAGAATCTTGATGAACTCTGGGAGTCCTGCAAGACTGCTTTCTTTGCCATTCCAGATGACTTCATCAATACGTTATTTGAGTCATTGCCGAGACGTATGGATGCAGTCCTCCAAGCTCATGGGAGTCATACACGATATTAATTCTTTTTCCCAAGGCACCATGACTTTATGTTCTGATGTTATTGGAGCATGTTTGTGTATTCAAAATAAAGTATCATTTCTACAGTACATTATTTTTGTATGCGACAAGACTTTTGTCCAAGCAAGATCTGACCTTTCTGTCCTAATTAAATGATAAAATTCAGTGAATGATGCACAACTTTATTTTGGTATAATAAGCATAATCTAGAGGCCTTTGCCTTTCATATAAGCCATTTCTGATTCCAATTGATCAACTACAAGTCAAGTTATTATTTGTTGTTCCTACAACTTGGATAAGCGACAAGACTTTTGTCAGGGACTGTAATAGGGCAGAAAAGTATTTGCTGAAGTGGGGAAGCTTTTATAAATGCACAAGAGTAAGGGTGAGGTACAAGCACTTAAATCACAAGTACTGTCAGGTGGATTTTATGTTTTTATGTTCTTAAAAGTCCTCATCTGTACTGAGGAGTGATGTATTTGCTTATTTTATTTATAAGCCATATTACTAACTGTTGCTTTCCTCTCATGTTCTGGGGGTTAAACCGGGGTAATAGAACTTGAGTTGGTTGTGAGTGTTACCAGGGAACTGGTCGTAAGTATGATGGAATGTACTTTATTTGTTAAAAGAGAAAAGTTTGCCTGTTCCTGGGTCAGCAGGAAGTGAATTATACCTGTCAAATGAGACTCTGACTACCTCCAGATATAGTTTTTGATGATGGGGTCTTAATGCGTCTTGAGTGCACTGACAGTTGAATACATGTCACACTTATATCCACCTATATGATTCATTCTGCATGTTCTTGACACTACAGGTGGAACTACTGGAGAATCCTGAGCATGCGAGTCATTAAACCCCACTCAACTTTGGATTGTAACTTATCCACTTAGGTAGCGCGATGACAGCTCTGTAACCCTGCGACATCACACACACTCAGAGAGCATGACGTTTCTCAAACTCGGGCTGAGTTGATAGTTGATCTCATGTTGAGTTGCGGAGGGTTTAGTTTGCTGAATGCAGTGACAGCGCGAGGATTTTTGGGAGAACATGTGCCTGGCGTTACAACATTTAAATTAATTACCTCAACTCTGAAGCTTTCACTACTATACTGTTATATACTATGTTACCACCTAACCCTTATTTTAATTGTCCCGTGCATGCACTGCTCTAGTGTTGTAAAAAAAATACAAATTTATCGATTATCAATTCTCAGTGTTTAAAACAGATTTCAATACTCCTTTTCTGCAGCACAGATGCACCTGTACAACCTGTGCTTTCTCGCTGTCTCTTCTCTCCAGCAGCGAGCTGACACACACACACACCGCTGCAGTGCCCCCATGGCCCCACCTCCTCTCATTCTCTGACAGCGCTGTCTTCTCTTCATTTGTCACATTCGCTGCAGTTGCATAAAGGCTTTTGCAGCTCAGCTTTTGAACATGTGCACTACCTCGAGAAAAATACTGTTTTCGTTGATGCAAAAAGTTTTAACAATCGTTAATCTTTACGACAGTCACTCTGCTGTTCTCGTTAATAACCAGGAAAAAAGTCATTGTTGTCATCTTACAGCTTGGGTATATTTACTAATAAATACTTTACAATCTATACCCTCAATGTCAACTTTTTCTCATGGTATCAAAAACAGTATAGTATATTAACATAATATGTTTTACAGAGCATTCAGGCAGAATTTCAAAGGGAAAAGTTCCCATTCTGAGCAATACTTCTATAAAGGCTCTTTTTTAACATAGTTGTAACTTATTTTAGTTAGAGCTTGTTTTAATTTAAGGTTAATTATTATTTCATTGAGTTAAAGGACAATAATACATTTAAGGTCATTTATGTAGTGTAAAGAAGAAGAAGTTATTCAGAATTTGGATGAAAGTACTTTGTATTTGTGTTAAGAGACTAAATTACCCACAATCCTTTGCTACCCATAATGCTTTACAAAAAAGGAGGGAAAGGTAATGTTTTGGTTAGCAGAGCAGAGGTTAGCTCATGTCTAGAAGCCAAGTTGTACCTACGTTCACAAGCTGGAATGTACCTTTGTTTATGTTTACTAAAGTCACGTTCAGACTCTAAGTAAAGAGCCTCATCTCGTCATTTCCAAGCTAGACTGAAATACAACAAACACCATATGTCAAACGCATCATATAACGCAACGGTGGGAGTCGTCGTACTTGACTCTTCCTCAGTGCATTGCGCAGTAGTAGGCATTATTGGTTGTGAGCAGTTGTGAGTTGGTACTTCTCAGTAGATTGGCTTTGTATTTTATCATTTTCATCGTGGTGAAGTATTGTGTCTGTGCAGGTTGCACAAATTCTGTACTGCCAGGACACTGAGTCCACGGTTTCCCTGACAGGAAAAAAAAACAGAGCTGGCTTTCCTGCCTGAGTGCAGTTTGTGCAGGTGAAGAGACAGGACTTTGATACAGCATTGGTATGAAAAAACGTGGTCATTTGTGGCGCTCATTTTACACAGGAGGATATATGATGGAGTTCAGGATGGGATTTCGTAGCCAGGACCGTGTGAGGCTTTTAAGGACTGCGTTTCCCACAGCTGCTTTATCAGCTCCTCCAGCAGCAGCCTCTGATTCTGCCGCCACCGCTAGCGTGATTAAAGTTCACAATCTTTCAGAGATTCAGCTCAACGAAAACGTGAATTGTGCATGATAAGTCTTGATTCTCAAAAGTTTGCTAACTTCCAAATGAGTCTGTGTGATGATTTCAACAGGTGTGGTTAGTTTTTGTTGTTGTGAGGAAGCTCACCTAGCTTGTAAAACCTACTAGCTAATAACAAAGTGATTCACTAGGGGCTCTTTAGGAGCCTAAATACAGTTCTACGTTTGTAAGTTATAAGATAAGGGTATTATTATTGTATTGTACCTTTAATTGCCTCTTTTTGACGCTCTAACCAGTAGGGAGAGTTTTTGGATTTGAGAGAGTTAATTGCAGTGAAGAGTGGTGCCACACAGTTTTTGGACCTCCTATCATTTGTGTCTTTTGCCCCTTTTTTGGCCTCTTTTTTGTGGATGATTGTGGTTTTGGGAATGGATGATTATTTCTGTACCATCTTTGAGTTTTGAAGTAAACTGTTGGACTTTGTCGAGTGGTCCGGTGGATTTTTTGCACGTGTGGGTTGGGATGAGGTGGATGATTAGAGCGTCAAGCTGTGGCTTCACTAATTGGAAATCTATCCAAGAAAACATTCAGAACTGAAGGAGATAACTTGTGTATACTTATTTACAAGTCCAAAACACAATCCAGTGGTTTACCTTACCTCTTTCCCATGACTTCACAACTAAACTGAACTATCTACTACTACTTGTATGTAACTGTAAACTTTAAAGCCACAGTTCACTGGAAATAAAATCACGCTTCAGTAAATTCCACTGCTGTCAAACACTGCTCTGCAAGAAAATGTCTTTGTAGTCAGTGTCACTTGAAGTCTTTGTTCAGTGGCACTTTGTGAGACTTGATTTACTGGGTGAGCTATGAAACAGAGAAGTCCCTGCCTGTGTGGACAAAAGTGAAAATCCTCTCTTAACTTTAGGTCTTGTCTCAAAGGAATCTGTGTTGGAAAAGTCGTCATTGTGGTCAAGGAATCAAGTTCTACCTTTCAGGCTAAAAATCGTAAAGAGTTCTAAAGTCCAAACTATTAAATTATATTTTGTTTCTGTATATGTGTGTGTGAGTATGTCTCTGTGTGTGTGCACCTGTAGGTCTGTGAGTGTGTGCAGGTTGTGTTCCACTCACCTTGTCTGCATAGAACGCTTTGACCTCGGCAGTAATGGAATCAAAATCCCCACTGATATAGTCGGGGAGAAAGCTGGATGTGAGGATAGAAAAGAGAGGGTGAGTGACAGAGGGAGAGGGTTAAGATTGCGGGAAGAGACAGAGAGTGTGAGAGCGTAGATAGAAGAGAGAAGGGGAGAGAGGACATCGGGGCATGTGTCAGCTCTTTGATCTGTGCAGCCAGGGAGAGGGAGTGACGCCGCCGGGGGAAGACGAAGAGACATGGAGACTGACAGGGTGATTCTCTGTGGCACTGAGCCTGGCCATGTCACACACACGCACACACATGGCTGACTGCAGAGATACATAGATTTATGAGAAAGCGCACACACACACAAGCACGAATGGCAGCATACACAAGCAAATTTAAGTTTATTAGGATGTATCAAACACATAAACAGAGTAAAGTATCTATTGGAAGCAAATACAATCATGAGTCTCTCTCTCTCTCTCACACACACACACACACACCGACAAACAGAGCATGATGTAAGCAGTGTTCATCAGATATTGACCTGTTCCATTACACTGACTACATTCTCCAGCAGAGCAGAGGATGGGTTTGATTACCACAGGTCACAGTGCAATCTGATGTTTTGAAACATGTGCACAATCACTACAGTAGGCTGTGCCAGTAAATGGTGAAATAAGGTAACACCAATAAGCCATGTGGCTGTTTTAGGAATGGGTTTATTTATATGGACTACTGATACAGGTTAAAGGACACAGAAAAGTAAATCAATGCATACCTGTGTGCTGCAGTACACTGAATATTTTTAAAACAACACTGGCATTAAGACTCAAGCTGCTGTTAACCAAACATTACTGACAATAAAATTCTGACACTATAAGCCAAAATTAAAGGGTCCAGAATCCAAATTGTTTCTGGATTTAAAGGTCCAGTGTGTAGGATTTTGGGGCATCTAACAGCAGAAATGGTAAGTAATATTCACAGCTATGTTTCAGCATTATTAAATCACTTGAAATCAACAATTATGATACCGAGTGGGTCCACTCCCACCAGTTGTTTTGCGGTAGCCCAGAAAGGACAGATCAAACACTGGGGGTGGGAATCACCAGAGGATCGACGATACAATACATGACTTCAACGGGACTACAACGAACTACAACGGGTCACGCACCGGTGACATCATAGATGATAGAAACATGGGATTTTGACTGGTGGCAGAGCTCTTCACACACATAAAGTGTAAATAAAAACAAATCAGTTGAGTCTTTCCCCTTCGGATGAAATGGCCAGTCAGGCTACATGCTACAGAGAGAGTTTAAGAGGTCCAGATCGCCTTTGGTACGACGAGAAAGTGAAAATGAGAGGAGGTGTGTGCCCTTTTCAGCTGCCAGCCTCTGTGTGGACGAATGACCCTGTCAATTCATTCATTCAATTCATGTCCTGTTGATTCATTAATTAACATTCATTAGAATTAATTTCTTGGCCTTGCCCATAACTCCCGGTTATATAGATTTTCCGCCATTTTGAATTTTTTGAAAAACACTTAAAATCGATCTCTTCCTAGGAAGTTTGACCGATCTGCATGAAACTATGTGAACATAATCTAGGGGCCAATATCTAAAGTTCCCTCTTGGCAAAAGTTGGAAAACTTACTAAAACTGAGCTTCTATAAGGCAATGAATATTGCGGAGGGCGTGGCTCATCACATAAAGGTGTATAACATCTCAAGGGTTTCACCGATCACCACGCAACTTTGTAGGCATATGACCACACATAATCTGAGGGGAACCCTCCATTATTGACCCCATCAAACAAAATGGGGGCACTAGAGAGCTAATTTCTTATCTAGGCCTAACCGCCATATCGATTTTTACTAAACTTGGTAGATATGTAGAACAGGACGCCTCAAGGTGACTGGAGAAATTTAACTCTAATTGGCAACTGGGTGGCGCTATGACAACAGAAAAATGCTCAAAAATGGCTAAAATGCGACCGATCGCTGTGGCTCCCCCTGTGGACCAATGGCTTTTTTTTCTTTCTAATTTTTGGTATGACTAAGTCATGGTATGGTATGCTGTACATAATCACGGAAACTGTCAGTGTGTCATTCTGTCAGTCAGTCATTCTGTCTGGATGACTGACTGACAGGATCTGGATCGAATATCAGCCCCGATATCATCAAAATAGATGGATCGGGTATCGGAAAATGCAACCTATACCTGAGGAGATCCTTTCCCTTTAAATCTATTGCGACGCGAGCTACGTCATACGTCATGGAGCGAAGGAGAGACTCTGCTGTGTGGAGGTATTTCACACTATTTCAACTGCTGTTGCACAATTGTTTATTTTGGTTAAAAATAAATAGTTCATCATTGCATTAATCTGTTTCATCTTGTTTCATTTTATCTTAGGAAAGAACTGTGTAGTCAGTCATCAATGCCTGATGCCTCTAGTCCTTTCTGTTCTACATGTAAAGGTATGTAGCTTTTTAGGTCAACCATGGTATCAGATTGGTATCGGGTATCAGCTGATACTCAAAGCCACAACATCGGGATCGGGATCAAAACTGAAAAAGCTGGATCAGTGCATCTCTATATTAAACACTGACTATAGATAGGACCATTCACATTTTCGTGTCAGCCACCATAGCTCTCCTTCACACTTGGCATGCTGGAGAGGTTTCAGTTCTGCAACGTTACTGCTAAATGCCACTAAATCCTACACACTAACTGGACCTTTAAAAATAAATTTTTCAAGAGGATCACGTGGGTTAAAAGCTGATTTGCTTTTGGATTTTATGCTCTGTGCATCCAATGCATGTTGTATTTCCTGCTGAAGGAAGATGCTGATCATGAGTTTATACACTGACAACTCAATAATGAAAAGTGAAGAGGAAAACTGGGAGATTATGCCCCATAGTCCCTTTATATATCTAAAAAAGAAGCAATAAAAGGTTAAGCTTTGGTTATAGGTCTGCATTTCAGCCATTTTAAATCATTAAAATAACAATTCCTGATTTTTTTATTTTTATAAAAGCCCTAAGAATATAGCATGTATTAATGCTGACAGCTATTTTCAGCTAGTATGGATGAAACGAGTGTTTGTCAACTTCCACGGTTACAGAAACAGACGCGTGAAGGAGGATGCAAATGAAACTGGACTGCTAAGTTTGACAGTTGTCTACTTACATAAAGCTGCTGTACATGCACATTATTTGTATCACCAAACTACTTTCCTATGGTTTATGACTCACTATGCCTCACAGATAGCAGTAATACAGAATATTAGTTGTTAACTACATAAACCTGGGAGAAATACAATGTTAATACATGCAATTAAGAAGATTACAACAGAAAATTAAACTGGGCAGGAGGTTTGGGAATATATGTGCATGCAGGCGTTGCGCTCTGAATACAAATTTCCCTATGCATTTCATTCATCCAAATACAACTATGTTTTGAGGCAGCGTGCATTCCCAGGGTGTGGAAATTAACAAGACTATAGCAGATATCAGGGAAAACAACCAAAAATCTTCCAGCCACTACTGAGTAGAACATTCCTGTCGGAGAGAGACAGATAGCTCTCTGTTTATTCCATTTATGTGTGTGTGCGAGTTTATGTGCGAGGAGCAGGACCACGCAGGGATGCGGTTGCCACTATCTAGAGGCATTAACAGGTCTGACATTACGATTTCATGGTTGGTTGGGTGGTGTGTTTGCTTGTGTGTGTATGCATGTATGTGTGTGTGTGCTCCCCAGCAAGAGGCGAGAGCGGTGTTCCGGTCGGTTGAAGAAAGAGATACAGAAGGATTATTCCCCTCCCTCCCTCCTCAGTGTTTCCATTTACACCAACAAGATACAGCAAGACAAACAGCACAGCAATTGTATGCAATCTGCTGCCACACACACACACACACACACACACACACACACACACGGAAACACACACAGCATGCGTACAGACAATCAAGCACCACCCTACCTGAGCTGGACAAAAAATATGATCCAGGTAAAAACTTTCCTTGTCCACACAAACACGCACACACAATATGCACAAACATCTGCAAAATAAGCACATTCACACGAGCACATGCACACACTCCCCGCCTTCTAATACGGGACGCCACAATTGCATCTCCATTCAGAAATAACCTTCATGTGACAGATGGGACGAGACGTGACACTCGGCCCAATCACAGCTTAACACACACATGTCACGTACACACACATTCCTGCACACGCACATCCCATTGCGACCTGCGCGCATGACTCCGTTGGCGGATAGTAATTGACCAGGCGAGATTCTAGATTCTGTATTTGTGTCTGCGTGCGTGAGCGTAAATGCTGTTTGCGTGTGTGTTTGTGTGTCCGCGTGCCGTGTGTCTGACAGTCTTCACTTCCACATTAATATTAACTGACACTTTAATTTGGATGGGAAATAGAGCATTTTACCGCCAGTTTGTCTGAGTGCCGGGTGGCAGGGATTGCTGTGTGACCTTTGCCTGTGTTTGCGTGTGTGTGTTTGTCTATCAACCCGCTTGTGTGCCCCTCTCTCTGCATCCTCTTTGCCTGCTTTCTTTTTCTCCTCCTCTCCCCGCCGACCCACACCTCTCCTTCACACGCTGCTTTTTCCTTTACACCCTCTTCCAATCTCATCTCATTTCCGCTCTGCAATACTTACCTTTCCATATAACTGAAGCAATTTCCTTCAATGTAACCACTTCATTAAGGTACAAATAAACATTTTCATCCACTGTCTGACACTTTCTTCATCTCTACATCTGTCTGTTTCCGTCAAACCGAGGCCATCCTTCCATATGACCACTTAATTACAACAAAATGTTTTGTTTATATTCACTTGCTCCCCCATATCTTTCATCATCTCCTGGATCACAGCACGACACACACTCAACTGGTCCTCTCATCACTTGAGGAGATGCAGCTCTGATTACTCCTCTCATCCCTCCCATCTCCCAATCAGAGGAGGAGAGCCAGTGAAGGGGTGGAGGAATTATTTTGGATGCCATCATTAACGACCCATATACATAAACAAGCCAAAGCAAA